GCTTGTTTTGTGGTGGTGGTACTCACTGAGCCAGATTGCCTGGCTCCCTGTCTCTGTCCCCTCCCTTTCAGTTGAATGGGTGGCTTTGTCTCCCAGGCATTCCAGGTGCCAGTTGAAATGACTAGCCAGATTTTTGTGAGTTTCTGTGCACCAAGCTGGCACCAGCTGAAACTGCTGTGCTGAAAACTCATGGCACTTTTCAGCCCGGGAATCTCCTGGTCTGTGGGCAGTGAAAATTTGTTTGGAAATGTGGTGGGCACTCACCCTCTGCGTTGTTCTTGCTGGGAACTGCACTCTGGAGCTGTTCCTATTTGGCCATCTTGGATCATCCCCCGTATTCTTCAGGTCCCTCTATACCTAGCTAGGATCAATCACTCCCATTCACGTTTCCTAAGCTCCATTATCCTATTTCTTTTCTTCGTGCCCCTTCATAGAATCCCAGTCCTGAATGGGCACAATCCCCTGTCTTAGATGTGTCTGCATCTCAGGGTAAGGTAGGTAGACAAAAAGAGACCTTCCTCATCCTTAGCTTTACCTCAGCATTCCTGCCTTCCTCTACTCTAGATTAGTGGTTCTCAAAGTTGGAGGCAAGGAACGAGCAGCATCAGTGTTGGCCGGAAACTTGTTAGAGATGCAAATCCTGGGGCTCTGGAGGTGGGCCCAGGAACCTGTGCCTTAACAAGCCCTTCAGGAAACTCTGAACCATTCTCAAGTGTGAGGATCACTGCTCTAGACAGCCACCTCCCCACTCTGTAGAGCAAACAGTTTCCCCTTTCCACAAACTTCTGCCTCTCCACATCCCCCCACCCTGCATCATTCATACACTGACCTGTGCTCCTGCTTTCCAGAGCAAACACAGAAATAATTATGTGGCTTTTTCTCAGCATCCCTCCACCAGATCTGCCTGCCTGCATCTCCAGTGCCCTATTCTGCCTTCCAGGTACAGAAGAAGGAAGGTCTCCTTCCCAGCAAATGTGTCCCTACCAGGAACACCATCCTCACTCTTGACAACTTTCTGCTATAGCTATACTCGTTCTCTCGTTCATTTGTAACCTTTGCCTGTTCACTGGGCTCTTTTCATCATATTATATGCCTTTCCTTTCTGCAAAAACAATAAACCCTGCCTTGATCCCACCCCATTCTCCAGCAATGGGCTTCTCTTCCCCATTCATACAAATACCTAAAAGAAATCATCCTCACTGATCAGCACGCCTTCCCACCACTCTCCTGGACCCTTGCCTGTCCGGCGTCCAGGACTGACTTATTAAATGTACTCCCATCAGGGAATACAGAGATAAGTTCTTGCTACATATTTTATTGGACCTCTCGAGTTCATCCTTTTCCCAGTGATTTGAAACGTCACCTTTGTTACTGACCAAATGGCAGTGTCTCCATGAATCTCTCTTGGAACTCAATTCTTTTCCACATATTTGTTATTCTTGCATTTAAACCAGCCAGTATTGATTATTACATCATTATAATGTGATTTTTGTATCTAGGAAAACAAAATTCCCTTTGTGTATTCAGTTCTTGTTTTGTCCCTCAAGCATTGTTACTCTTTTGAGAACCGACTCCCCCCACCCCAGCTGCCTCAATCCATGTGGTCACAGTGCAGACAGCTGTCGCCTTACAGTGTGGCTTCACTGCATGGGTTGTGTGGACAGGAAGCACCCAAACTGAGCTGACAATCTCCTTCCTGAGCACGGGATGAATATGCTATGGTCTTTGTTTGACTGCTCCTTGCAACTGATGAGCTCCTTTGTAACAAGATTGGGACTGCTGGTTGCAAACGTTTCCCTCCAGGTAGCCTAAGAAACAAAAACCCACCCTGCCGGGAAGAAGAAAAATGAGACAGATGTGCAGAGAAAGACAAGCAGATGGGAGAAGCAGGGGCATCCCTTATACTAAAAAATCAGGTGTTGTCTGTTTGAAACTCTACTTTAACTGGCCATCCTGAATTGTATGTGGCAACCCTACCCTTAAAGCATCTTGGTTGGCCTCCTAGGCTCAGGTCTCAGCCCCTACAAAGAGGGAGCACCCAGAGCACCTGTTAAGACAGGACCCTTGGTGTAAGCAGCTTCACATGAGATCTTCTCACTTACAACCAACAGGATCCTTGTTCATTTTACAGAAGAAAATAGACATGAAGCCAGGAAATATGTAGTAAGCTAGAGAGCAATAAGTGCTGAAGAAAACATAAAGCAAGCAAGGGGGATATGAAGTATAGGTAAGGGTATGTGCATGCATGTGTTTATAGGTTTAAAATTAAGTCTGCCTTGAGAAATTCTAAAGAAAATGAGGGAACTAGCCATGATGATCTGAGGAGGACAAGCACTCCAGATGGGGTAGGAGCAGGTGCCTGAATTCTTTAAGCAGCAGCCAGGATGCCAAGCTGACTGGAACAGAGAGGTGGCTTTCCAGCAGTGCTGCTAGTACTCAGGTTTATTTAATCCTTACAATTGACGCATTTAGGAAACTATATAACTATCGAGATCTTTTTTTGGTTTTTTGAGATGGAGTCTTACTCTGTCACCCAGGTTGGAGTGCAATAGTGTGATCTCAGCTCTCTGCAACCTCTGCCTCCCAGGTTCAAGCAATTCTCCTGCCTCAGCCTTCTAAGTAGCTGGGATTACAGGCGTGCACCACCACACCCAGCTAATTTTTATATTTTTAGCAGAGACAGGTTTCACCATGTCAACCAGGCTGGTCTCAAACCCCTGGCCTTGTGATCCACCCACCTTGGCCTCCCAAAGTGCTGGTATTACAGGTGTGAGCCACTGTGCCTGGCCAACTATCCAGATCTTAATCTTATAAATTGGTGCTAGGAAAGTTTACCAAAATGAGGGTCTTCTCAAGTTAAACAAAACGATTGCATAGCCTCCTAAGTTTGTCAAATTTTCATTCTTTTATTTATAAATTTATGTTTTCCTAATTATAAAAATAGTTTTACTCATAAAGTTAATAACAATTTCATCACTAAAGATTAAGTGATGATCATCTCTGAGTGATGAAGTTGTGAATGATTTTATTTTTAGTTATTGATTTTTTTAGAGACAGTGTCTTGCTCTGTCACCCAGGCTGGAGTGCAATGGTGCGACCATGGCTTACTGCAGCCCTATTTTTATTTATTTATTTTAATATTTTATAATCAGAAAAAAATAGACTTACAATTAAAGGATTGAAAAGGTTGATCTGCTTTCACAATTCACGGTAGCCCTGACCATCGCCTGGAATGTCACCCTACTTCCTGTGGCTCCTAGGCAAGACACTCCCCTAAGCTCCCTGGACTCCAGAGCTGAGCCCCCCAGGAGTTCAGCTCTTGGGCTGGCTCTGTGTTTCTGTACTGCTCAGAGCTGGAGGAGCCCACAGAGTGGGTGGGGAACAGCACACAACAGGTATCCTTATCCTGGAGGCTAAGGAAGAGGTGTTTGGGAAGGAGATATTCAATGCCAGACTTGGCAGAAGTGCTGTGTTTCTGAGTGTCTGAGCCCAGCCTTCAAAGCAGAGCCCTCCTACCATGATGGCAGTGACGTAGTCCTCCAGGGGCTCCTCCACGGTGCATGCCAAGGCACCACCACTCACGGCATTCCGCTTATCACACTTGGCCCTCTCATGGTGGCCCACTGTGGACCACTGCACTCTCTGGGTATCTTCCAGACCTAGGCTGGGTGGAGAAGAGCCAGGGCTCCAAAGGAAGCCCCAGGTGGGTCTGGGAGCTTAGTGCTCCTGGCTGCAGAGTAGCTGTCCAACGAGGCCCTCAGTGGCGGCAGCAGCACTGACATGTCTCATTCCCACGACACTGCGCATTCCTGCCTGTCACCCCCCGGGAGAAATGGTGAACTCGGTTCTCAGAAAAAGCAATGAAGACAGAGCTTCCCCCTGCTCGTAGCCTTAGCTCCTCAGGCGTCACCTCCCCAGGGAGCCCAGCTAGCCTGGCCTCTGAGCACTAGCACAGCTCAGGGCCTGCTGGGGGTTTCTCTTGCAAGACTGGGCTCCCCATCCAGGAAGCATGCCCCAGTTGGCAGTCACGAGTTCTGTTCTGGGTGGGCCGGCTTGCTTTCCCCTCACCCAGTGTCTTTGCTCACCACCATATGCCCACATCTAACACAGCAGCTGCCCTTTTGTAGATGCTAATACCTAATGGTTGACTAAATGGAGGGTAGAGGCAGGAAGGAAGGAAGGAAGGAAGGAAGGAAGGAAGGAAGGAAGGAAGGAGGGAAGGAAGGAGGGAAGGAAGGAAGGAAGGAAGGAAGGAGGGAAGGAAGGAGGGAAGGAAGGAGGGAAGGAAGGAGGGAAGGAAGGAAGGAAGGAAGGAGGGAAGGAAGGAAGGAAGGAAGGAAGGAAGGAAGGAAGGAAGGAGGGAAGGAAGGAGGGAAGGAAGGAGGGAAGGAAGGAGGGAAGGAAGGAAGGAAGGAAGGAGGGAAGGAAGGAGGGAAGGAAGGAAGGAAGGAAGGAAGGAGGGAAGGAAGGAGGGAAGGAAGGAGGGAAGGAAGGAAGGAAGGAAGGAAGGAAGGAAGGAAGGAGGGAAGGAAGGAGGGAAGGAAGGAAGGAAGGAAGGAAGGAAGGAAGGAAGGAGGGAAGGAAGGAAGCAAGCTAGCTAGCTTAGAGATCCAGTGGATGACCAGACCAGAAACCTTTGGATGGTGGTAGTGGCTAAGTTCCCACTTCAGTTTAGGATGGACTATTTTTATTCTCCACATCAAATAGACTCACCTTGGGTGGGATGACCCCAGCTAATAAAAAGGAGCCAGAACCATCATGACTTCAAGTTGTCTAGAATATGAAGGTCTTTAAAACCCTTTTCTAATCACATACGTCAGGTCTTTTTTCCAGCTCAGCAGAAAACCCCCTCATGAACCCAATGCAGTTAGTAGCGCCCTTGGGCTCTGCAGGCCAATAAAGATCGGGTGAGGCTTGCAGGAACCAGAAAAGCCTCCCAGGACGGCCCTGGCCTGCCCCACTGCCCAGGCTGGCCAGGTACCTCCAGGGACCTTGCATACCTCTTTTTAGATGCTGAGTTGCAGAAAAATACACATATCCCAGGTACAGCTTGGCATTCGTCTTAGGTGGGGCCTTTAAAAACCCATGGGCAGCATCAGTAAACAGCAGATCTGTCCCGTGAGGAGAGCCAAAATTGAAATTCAGATGACTTCTCTTTTCCAAAATGTTGCTGTTGAAAGGACAAAAGAGATGGTGAAGGAGGGAGGGTGGCATAGAGGTAAAGGTAAAACAAACCCCACAGCAGACAAAGGAAACGGAAAGCAAGACATGAGTGGCTGAGGGCGAAGGCAATGGCTGAGGTCCGCCACATCCCTGGGGCATGGTGAGGGAAAGCTCTACTCAAATTCCAGTTTGTCTGCCTGGTGTGGCCTCAGGGAAACTGCCAGGCGCCACCCCTCGGATTCATCCCTTTCCACTGTCCGTGTTCCCATGGGGCATTCAGCAAAGGCTGCCTTGCGCTCAGGTCACCTGATCACCCTAAGCGCCTGCGGTGGTCTCCGTCCTGCAGACCTGGTGATCCCACACTGTGGGCTGCAGTCAGACTTCCTGAGCTCCTCTTCTCCCTGTGCCAAGCCTGCCACTGAAGGAGCAGCTGTGGGACACCATACAGTCCCTTCCCCTTTCTGGCCTCCAAAAACCAAAGGGCTCTTTGCCTCAGACTCTGGTTGACTGGCCCAAAGCCATTCCTGACATAGCTCACAGCAGCACCTACCCACGTGCTCTTTCAAATGGCTGGCTGGCGTTTGCTTTCGCAGTGACTCTACGTGAAATGTCACCTGCTGCCTTCCCTGACAACCCCTACCCTCCACCTCCTTAGGGTACACACAATTACTCCCAGGTACACTCTGCGAATCAGTCCCTTCGTCCTCCACAAAGGACACCATCCATGTCCATGAGTTGGTGCAATTCCACTGGGTGAGAATCCATACCCGTATGTCTCCCACACTCATCTGTGAACGACTCAAGACAAGTCTTTGCCTAGTTTGTTTCTGAATCCCCCAGTGCTAAGGAGAGAGCATTGGCAGAGGTGTCAGGAGGGCAGGATCATCTGCCATGGGATGACAGGGGAGCACTTTGTAGAAGAAGAGGGCATGTGAGCTCATCCCGAGAACCCGTTCAGAATGAAAAATAATTAGGTGGAACAAGAGGAACTTCTGCAGAGAGTCTTTAGTCCACCAGGTTGGTGGTGCCAGGCAAGGTTTTATGCCTCTGCTGTCCATAATGCATACAGACTGAGTGGCTTGTCAGTGAAGAGGACCACATGCGGCAGGGCTCCCACTGCACCCTAAACACATCAGGACTTTCAGAGTGGCAGGAAAGCGAGGAAGTTAACCTCCCTCTAAATCCAAGCAGGGAGCGCTAAGCCTGAGGGGGGGATGGCGGGCGGGGATACCTGGGCCTGGTTGAGAAGCTCCCAGATCAAGTCCTCCTTGCCGCCCACACTTCGGGCCACGACGGTGTGAGAAGGGACCCGGGCCAAGTGGCAGTCCTTGTATTCATCTACCGGCTTCCGGGTGTTGTCCAGGCAAAGCAGCTCATACTCATCCCTATCAGCCTTGTTTGCCAAGTTCTCTGGGGAGGAAAAGCCCAGATGAGCCAACTACAGGAGACCCATGAGCCATGGTTAGGATGATCCCTGACCCTCACAGAACCATATTATATGTGACCTGAAGAGGACTGAGAGAGAATTTTTTCCAAACACATTTTATACAGGTAAGGACTAGAGGCCTCAGGAGTGAAACAGCTGGTTCACAGTCTCACTGCAGGTAGACACAGGGCTGGGAGGTGTGCCTGGCCCAGGGCCCTCTAACTGCCCCACTTCGCTGTGGCTCTGCTAATAGGAATTGGTGACAGCAAATGTGTACTGGACAGTCATAGCTCATCAAAGACTTGCTGAAGGCTCTCGGGCTCTGTGGCATTTAATCCTCACAACAACTGGGAGAGGCCAGTAATATGATTATCTCATTCTACAGATGAGGAAATTGATACTCAGAGACTTAAGGTAACTCGTCTGGGGCTGACACATTACCATGCGAGGACAGCCCAGCTCCCCCACTAAAGGGGCCACATTCCCTTTGAGGCAGAGACTGCAGGAGAAAGCTGGGAGGGCAGAGAGCTGGAAGGAGGTCTAGGAGCCCAGTCAGGTACTCTGCAGGTACAAAGATGAACCAGAAAGACCCTATGAGGAAAACAGGCTCTTTGATTCCATTGTTTAGGTATTAGAAAGTGTTGTGGGTTCAATATATGCATATATTGAAGTCCTAATCCACATTACCTCAGAATTTGACCTTATATGGAAATAGGGTCCTTGCAAATGTAATTAGTCAGGATGTGGTCACACTGGGATAGGGTGGACCCCTAATCCAATACGACTGGTGTCCTTATGAAAAGGGGAAGTTTACACTCAGAAGACATGCACATAGGGAGAAGGCCATGTGAATATGAATGAAGGCAGAGATTGGAGTGATGTGTCTGTGAGTCAAGCAACACCAAAGATAACCAGCAAACCACCGGAAGCAAGGAGAGCGGCCTGGAACAGATTCTCCCTCACCACTCTCAGGAGGACCCAGCCCTGCCAACACCATGATCTTGGCATCCTAGCCTCCAGAAGTATCAGACAATATAAAATCTGTTGCTTAAACTACCCAGTTCACGGTATTTTGCTACAGCAGTCCAAGAAAACGAATACAGATGTGTTACCCGATGGAAAGTCTTGACTGTGAGTAGTCCAGGTTCTCAGCACATTGAACAAAGAATTGAACAAAATGCGTGAATGAGGCAATGAAAGTGCAGATTGATTGAAGAGAAAGTCCACTGCACGGAGTGGCAGCAGGGTCCAGTGAGCAGCTCAAGAGCCCTGACTACAGTGTTCTTTAGGGTTTTTATTAAGCAAAAAGAATTTGGCAACACCCAGGTGCCCTTTAGAGGCCTCTAATTGGTTACACCCTATGAAGGATGGCCCGTGGCCAATCAGAGGCTGAAGGGGAGACTGCTGAGAGAGAGGATGTGACCTATATGCTGCCTAATCATGTCTGGAACTAACTGATTGCACCTGCTGCTCTATTGCTTCTGCCTTAACCCTTGATTACCCTGATTCCCTATTCTTGCCTTAGATGGCCTTTGAGGTTGATACAACCTCAAACCGAAAGAGGAGTGTAATCAGGGCTCCTGTGAGTGGTTACAATTTTAATTCCGTATTTTCTCTAGAAAATATATTTTAAATCTTTACATTAAAAGAAAAGTTTCAAAATGATTTAGTAATGTTAGAATTAAATTTAGAGAATCAGTATGACCTAATGACTTCAGAAATAAATCACTTTTCCACCTTGGCCACTCCAGGGCCCAGGGTGGCAGCAGCAGCCCAGGGCTCTCCACCCCCACTCATTGTCATAGTCTCATGACATTCTCCTACCAGGCAAGAAGGGAATCTTGCAAAATAGTACACAAGTGCCTTTGGGCAAAGGTTAATCAAGATGGTCTGGCACAATCTGGTTTCCATAAAGTGAGGATGTTTTCAGATACTTCAGGGGGAGATGGAAGACGCTGCCACTATCATTAAGTGTGGTAACTTGAGCATCCAAAGGACATAATTATTATTTGGAACAACTTGATGAGACCCATAGGTGACCCCACTAATTAAAATTGTGGATAATAAGACATGCATCAATTGCCAAAATGCTAACAAAGCAGGTCAATGTGTAATAATGAGGAGACAGTGAATTGTGAATAATTGAACAAGGGAACAAAGGACACTGAAGTCAATTTAATGTTAGGGAAAGACATTAGGTTGTAAGGAACTGGGACCCATGTAAAAAGTGAGGACCTGGCTAGGCGCAATGGCTCATGCTTGTAATACCAGCACTTTTGGAGGCTGAGGCAGACAGATCATGAGGTCAAGAGATTGAGACTATCTATATTGGCCAATATGGTGAAACTCTGTCTCTACTAAAAATACAAAAAAGTTAGCCGGGCATGGTGGCATGTGCCTGTAGTCCCAGCTACTGAGGAGGCTGAGGCAGGAGGCAGGAGACTCGCTTGAAATCTGGAGGTAGAGGTTACAGTGAGCTATGATCACGCCCCTGCACTCCAGCCTGGGCAACAGAGTAAGATCCTGTCTCAGAAAAAAGGTTCTGGCCGGGCGCAGTGACTCAAGCCTGTAATCCCAGCACTTTGGGAGGCCGAGGCGGGTGGATCACGAGGTCAAGAGATCAAGACCATCCTGGTCAACATGGTGAAACCCCGTCTCTACTAAAAAAAAAAGTACAAAAAATTAGCTGGGCATGGTGGCACGTGCCTGTAATCCCAGCTACTCAGGAGGCTGAGGCAGGAGAATTGCTTGAACCCAGGAGGAGGAGGTTGCGGTGAGCCGAGAGCGTGCCATTGCACTCCAGCCTGGGTAACAAAAGTGAAACTCCATCTCAAAAAAAAAAAAGGTTCTTTTTTTTATTATTAATTATTGTTGTTAATCTCTTAATGTACCTAATTTATAAACCAGACTTTATCATTTAAGTATGTATGTATAGGAAAAAAATACTATATTAGGGTTTGGCACTATCCGTGATTTCTAGCGTCCATTGTAGGTCTTAGAACATATCCCGCTTGAGCCAAGCGTGGTGGCTCACGCCTGTAATCCCAGCACTTTGGGAGGCTGAGGCAGGTGGATCACGAGGTCAAGAGATCGAGACCATCCTGGTCAACATTGAAACCCCGTCTCTACTAAAAATACAAAAAATTAGCTGGGCGTGGTGGCACACACCTGTAGTCCCGGCTACTCAGGAGGCTGAGGCAGAAGAATTGCCTGAACCCAGGAGGCGGAGGTTGCGGTAAGCCAAGATCACGCCATTGCACTCCAGCCTGGGTAATAAGAGCGAAACTCCATCTCAAAAAACAAAACAAAACAAAACAAAACAAAAACAAAAAAACATATCCCCCTTGAATAAGGTGGTACTACCATGTTTGTTCTTTCTTTAGTGCTCGGTTTACTTAATCTATAAGTCTACTAAACACATTTTATGAACATTTAAACAATACCCATCTAATAAAACAAGTTTTGTTTGTTTGTTTGTTTGTTTGTTTGTTTTTGAGACTGAGTTTCACTCTTGTTACCCAGGCTGGAGTGCAATGGCGAGGTCTCAGCTCACCACAACCTCCGCCTCCTGGGTTCGGGCA